TATTTGATCTCCATGATTGTGTAAGATGATTTTATGCAACGTTAGGTTCCTTATTCTACTTCCTGTTGCCGTTTTTTTGTGTGTGCGGTTTGAAGTAACGTTTTTTTCTTATGTGATACTTACTTTATTTTTGTCGGAAAGGCAAATTATGTTTCTAAAAAAGCATTCGTATGAAATTTGGAAAGGAAAGATGATGTGAATTTCTATTATGTGCTGGTGACACATGACAAAAAAAAATCAGATTTGACTAGTCTTCCCATTAATTTAGTGTAAATGTCATGTGTGTTTTTAGTCTGTCATGTAATTTTCCCATTGCTGCAAACTGTCCTTTGAGGCATACAAGATATAGGAATGCTTGTAAAATGAATGGCAGCAATTATTATTCAAATGAGGGGGTGCCAACCAGGGGAAGCATGGCTTGGAGGCTTGTTACTGTGTGAGGTTTAATTGCATTGCATATTTGTGACGATTTCTAACTTTTAACGTAATGCAATAGTAAAGCTCCCTTGGAGGAGAAAAATGGTACTTACAAATTCCAGTTACTGAACTTAGTGAGCCCGCTGATGCACATTTCTTTACAATAGAGGGCATTTATTAACGTTTTGGTTCTGGGATGTGCCCTAAGGGGCTTTTCCACCACATCAGTATTCATGAGCATTGTCAGGAAATAGCAGTCACCTGCCTCTATTAGAGAACTGTCTTCTTGGAAGATGTGGAATTTACTGTTATTTAAAGTGGAGGGTCCAGTGTCTCTATGCCCTGGCAGGAGGGAAAATAAGATCGGTTTAAGACTTAAGGCTGCTCCAGTTGTTTTGATCAGCTTGCCACGTTTTTGTTTTTGGATTTCTGGGTGTGTGTGTGTGTGTGTGTGTGTGTGTGTGTGTGTGTGTAAGAGGTCCATCAGATAGACACTGTTAGATTATGAAGAACCTCTGAGTTAATCAAGTTTAGTCTTTTATAGCCCCTTTTTCTTTAAAAAAAAAAAATGGCTGATTCAGTTAGGTCTGTTTTGGAAACTGTTAAGCTCTGCCTGTGAATATCTCAGAGAAGCCAAATGTCATAAAAATGGTCTCTCCAGCTTGTCTTTGTGTCTCTCACAGCACTCACCAGCTTCTATCTTGTAAGTGCTAATCAATTTTCCTCTCTTCTTTCCTCTTCTCCCCTCCCACACTCAAGATTCTCCTCCTGACCTTTCACCCCCTGGAGCCCCAGTGCACTGTTTTACACTGGCTTTGTGTAAAGTTGGGGATTTGATGTGGGGCAGTTTAGGGATTTCCCTGAGAGGTCAGAGAGTGAAGCAGGTCTAGGGCAGGAGGGCTGCCAGGCTTTGATGACTCCAGTCAGAAGTCCTGGGTTCACCAGGCAACCCCAAAACTTCAAGACGTGAGGCCACCAGTAAGGCCCATGCCTTTTTTGTGCTCTGCCTCCTCAATTCCAAGGGCACATGCCTGCCTTACCTGGCTCATGTGGATGTTGTGAGATCCAAATGACGAAATGCCCAGGAAAGAAGGAACCTGCAATAATACACCCACTCATCTAGTGTTATCCAGGATCTACATTAATGCAATTTTCTGATAACAGCATCTCTTACCCCATTTAGTAACAGTCTTACATAACCTTTGGGGATTGCAAACATTTTGTTAAAGTTTTGCCCTGTCAAAGAGGATATTAAACAGCATAAGATTATTCTTTTTTTTTTTTTTAAAGTTTATTTATTTTTGAGAGAGAGAGAGAGAGAGAGACAGAGCATGAGCAGGGGAAGGGCAGAGAGAGAGGGAGGCACAGAATCCAAAGCAGGCTCCAGGCTCCGAGCTGTCAGCACAGAGCCCAACATGGGGCTTGAAACCACAAACTGCGAGATCATGACCTGAGCCGAAGTCGGACGCCCAGCCGACTGAGCCACCCAGGTGCCCCAGCATAAGATTATTCTTGATCATTTAAAATCTTCTTGGTCTATCAGTTATTTGTCTACATTATAAGAGCAATACTCTCAGCCTTTGTTTTGTGGCACATAGATACTTTTCTCAACACTAAATAAATAACCCCAGCCTATTAGGTTTTTTAGTGTATGTCTTCTCTAACAGTTGGTAGAGTTTTTAAGACAAGGTTTTTTAAGTTTAAAAACTGTATTTTTGTCTGAGGAAAGATAGTTAACGTCTTTACTCAATCCCAAGATGTCAGTAGTTACTTCTTTTAGTACTTCACCTCAGAGTGCTCCTGTGTCTTATTTGCTGCTTCTAATCTATAGTGGTCTGGGAAGCAGGAAAATAAGCTTATAATAAATCAGGTAGAGTGAGAATAAATAGCTCCGGAGCTGGTTCTGTAGCATTTTCTGTGAGCAGAGTGTGTGGGCTTTTCCATGCCTTCCTCAGCTTTGGACATCACTTCTTTGTTTTCCAATTGTCTGCTGCTTGATTGTCTGATAAGCCATCTCCATATAAATGAGGTTTTACTGTCTCAAAGGTCGGTTTGTTTGTATGAGGCTAACTATCCCTTAAATATGGTGTAACAAAGTCTTGGAAGTTGATGAGAATCAACGTCCAGATTGTAGGTATCTTGGTCATTTCTCAGGGTGAGAAATTGAGGTACATAGACTCCTGGTGACCTTCATGGCCCATACTCCCTGAATTGAACTATGTAGGGACAAGATCCAATAACCTCTTTCAAAGCCCAGACCCAGCAGAGACCCAGAGGTGAAGTAGATAGGACTTGAAGTTCTCAAGGCAAGCACTTCCCTTTTCTGTTCAACTCATAACTGTGTCAAGGAGAGGCCAGGGTTTCATTCAAGTCATTCCCATCACTGTCCTAAGAGAGGAGAAACCCCAAGCTGAGGTCCCTAAGCACAGCAAATTGGATCGGCTTCTCTGATGTTGGGCAACTGCCCAGATACTGGCAGGGAGGCAAGATCCCTGCTGTCACCTCCGCCACTGCCACTTGGCTGTCACGGTCACTTTCAGGGCCAGTTGCTTTGCTTGAAAATGTAGCCATTTCTCTGTAAAGCAGGGGAAACAGTCACCCCATATAGCTATTAGAGTATTAACTACCACTTACCAAGTAGTTGATAAGTTACCCTGGAAGTTCTAGACCCCTTATGTAACTCTCATTTTGACTTCCTAATGCCTCTGTGAGGGAGGTGTTACTATAAATAACATAAAAGGCATGCAATGCTTTTCACACAGTGGCTGCCTGGACCCCCTGTGACATTTCCTGAGAACATGCACTCCACGGCGGCAAGGTCTCTGTCACTCTTGTTCACTGCTCTGTCAGCAGAGCTTAGGACATTGCCTGGCCCATAGCAGCTGCTCAGTAAATATTTGCTGAATGAGTCCTAAACTTTAGTTGTTAGAGATCCCCATTTTTCTATATGAACAAACTAAAGCTCAGAGAGGTATAGTAATTTAGCCAGTTCACAGCAGGCAGTAAGTGATTGAGGCAGGGTCGGAACCTGGACCCAGCTGGCTCCAGCACAGAGCCTGTACCCCAACCCTCCTCCTGCCCCCTGCCCCCCTGTGAGGAAGGAATGGTTCCAGTAGGAAGTAGTAAATGCCTGGCCAATGTCCATGGGCAGGAGAGCTCTTGGGTCTGTGTGGTTTTGAACTGGCTGCTTGGGAAGATGGCCTTGCCCCTGGGAACGGGAGCCAGGATGCCACAGTGCCTGAAACCCGTACTCTGACTTTGGGACAACAGCAGGACCTGGCCCTTTCTCCTCCTGCAGGCTCTGCAGTGATTTGTCTGCTGTGAACCCTAATTAGTATCGCTTACATTTCTGCAGTGTCTTCACCTTTTCATTGATTGCACGGCCCTGGCTCTCTAGCAGATGTCCTGCCTCCCTTGGTGGATTTCTGCTCTGGCTCCATAGGGTATACTGATTTTTAGTCTATACCATCTAAAGGGAGATGATTTTGGAAAGTAATTTGGAGTGATCAAAATGGTTGTGGTAGAAAAATCACACCTACTGTGGGACAGTATGGTAAATTGCATAGATAAGACATAGGATTTTTTCCTCCATTGTTTAGATAACTAATGAGGTTTGCTACTTTTCCCAGTATAATTCGCCAAGTGGTTTTTATCTGTCACTCATATTTAAACTTCTAGACAATGTTTTGTAACGGTGTCCAAAGAGACCCTTAGCGGCACAAATTACAAATTTACCAACTTTGAATTTATGTATAGGCTTCTGTGTTAATAGGTGCCACATCATCGAACTAGAATTACCGTGAGAAGGAATACCATCTTTCCCTTCTACCCCACGGTGAGGTCACATAAATTTAAATTATGGAAGAATACACTTGGCCATCAAGAAAACTGTTTTACCCCTTTAACCAAAGTATTTCCCCAATTCTAACTGAATATTTACTTAAATAAAACTCATGTTCTTTCATCCTTCTATCAAGGTAATTGTATTTTTAAGAATTCAAGACAAAGCTTCCCAAGGTTCTTTTATTCTTTGGGTTTGCTATTGATTTCTATTTGTTTATGGAGTCACAGGGGCCTTGGGAGATAAATATTATATACCTGCCTCAGGCAAGACTGTATTCAAGTCACCCTCAGATGATAGCTCACCCTCTTCTAGAATGTCTTCAGGGATGAAAGCATCTTTGGGGCATTGTTACAATGGATCATTTACTTGGGAAGTTTTTCCTAATGTCTAACCTAACATCTTTCTGTTGTGGTCTTGTTCAGAAAAATAAAAGGAGTTGAGTTCAAAACGTATCTTTTTCTGAGTGTATAAAGAGGGTTTTGCTATCTAGCTTTACCCCTCGGGGTTGAATAAATATTGATGTTGATGTTAGGGTTTACGACCCGGGGGTGTCAGAAATGATCAGCCCACTTTTCCCTTCAGTGCTTCAGAGAAATGAAGAAAAGAGAACAAAAGCTGTTTGTGACTCACTTCAAGGCTGTCAGGATGCTAACAAACGGTTCTGGTACCTTGAAGATGGATTTGCGTCCTTAAGGCTGTGGAAACTCTTTTGAACTCATTTTTAATTGTTTATTTTTAGGTGCATTTCGACCAATTTAAAGAAGCATTAATACTTATCTTGTCTAGAACTCTGTCAAATGAAGAACACTTTCAAGAATCAGGTAAGGGCACTCACTAACTTTTCTTCTCTACACTCCCCTTTAAAAATTGCCCAGGGAAGAATTTGGGGACTTTGAAGCATGTCTATGAAAGATTTGGGGCATCTGCGTCTTGCAGATTGAGTTATTTTGAGTGACTTGTCTTCTGATATTATCCTAAAAGCCTGGCAGCTGTTGAACACTGAAATGAGGCTTCCCTACCACAACAGTGTATTATGGAAGAAATAATTGGATTGTTCCTAGGCAATACGTCACATGGCGTGGCAATAACTCATTCCTAGAATGGGCAGAGTGAAGCCGAATGGTACTACCTTCATCCGTATTTCCTGTGTCCACGGAAGAATCTGAGTTGGGGGAGAATTTTGCCTGAAAGAAGAAGAGTGTCTAATTTAGAGATAATTTTACTTAGTAGGTGGATAACTTTTTGCTATAGACATTATCATATATTATAATTGATAACATATATCTCAAGTGATAGTTTTGAGGACCACGTTTTCATTTTTCTGTTTTCAGTGTCTAGTAGAAGGCTTCACACATAGTAAGTATTGAATGAATGTTGAAAAATAAAGAACTTACTATTACACTTCACTTAGTTTTTTAAAAAGCACTGTAAATTATAAGACATCGTTTTATGTATCTCCAAAAGAAAAAGTTTTTACCAGTTAAAATAGCAAAATGCCATTGATTGTAGGACATATCCTACTGTCATAGTGTTCAAATCTAGGGTGTGTGTGTGTGCCTGCCTGCCTTTCAGTCTGTCTGTTTTGGGTCGGTGAAATATGGTAAATATTTAAAGGAAAGTCTAAGCAGTGCTGATATTTGTATTACGGTACAGTCCAGTTTTATCAAATATTGGTTGTCAGGCTAGAAATAGGGGTTGCTGTAAATAAGCATGAGGGGATTTTTGGGGTGATGAAATTGTCTCACATCTTGATTATGGTGGTGGTTACAGATTTTATGAGTTTTTCCAACCCACAGAATTGTGCACTAAAAGGAAATTTACTCGATGTGAATTACACCTAGATTTTTAAAAACCTGATTTTAAAAAAGATAACATAGAAATATAGTCCAGTTTTTGAGACTGAGGAAAAATCATTAACATTTTGTCACTACAAGGAGTCATTCAATGTGACCTATTTAGATAAAACACAGATGGGAACTCATTTCTTATCTTCACTGGTGATCTAGTTCTCCATCATACCTTCTGGAATGCTCAAGATTTGTGTCATATCTGTGAACATTGTGTTTACCGGTGTTTTGGGTTCTGGATCGAACATCCCCTTTCTGCGTATAGTACCACCCCAAGGAAGGTTATCGTCAACTCTGAGGCTTGCCAGAGCTCTCTAGAAGCCTACAGTGAGCCTGTGGGGGAGGTTATTGCCTTCTGGAGATTTTCCAGACTACTAATAGAATTTCAGTAGATGACCACTGCTGGAACATGGGCTTTTGTTCTTACGAGGTCTCACATTTTATTGGTATTTTTATTTATTTGAGGTTGTCGGTCATTTTTTTTTAACATTTATTTATTTTTTGAGAGACATAGAGACACAGAGCACAAGTTGGGGAGGGGCAGAGAGAGAAGGAGACACAGAATCCAAAGCGTCAGCACAGAGCCCGACGCGGGGCTCGAACTCACAAACCGTGAGATCATGACCTGCGCCGAAGTCGGATGCCCAACCGACTGAGCCACCCAGGCGCCCCATGAGGTTGTCTGTCATCTTGATAACAATAGCGCAAGATCTTGGGACCCGGATTAGAGCTTTGGTGACATCTCCACATTTTAGTTAGTAAGAGCCTCCGTAACATAAACTCGGTAACATAAACATTAAGTTTGTGGTTCTTCTGGGTGCTGGTCATGTGCTTTTATGTCGGTTTGGAATGGGCAACTCTGACACTAGTCCGCATGACCTCTTGGCTGCCCTTTCTTCAAAACCTGCATGGTCACCTGCCAGAAGATTGTCATAATAAATGCACAGACTTACGGTGACCCCAGATGTGAAGGGTACCGCCTAGAGTTGTTCGGTGCTGGGATCTAAATAATAGGATGAGGAGGCGGACAAAGTCTGGCCTAGTTTGCCAGTAGCTGGGAAGTAACGTTGATGAAGCTAGCTCCAGATGCTGGTTTCAGAGTTATGTGTGTGCCCCGCTGCCGTGGAGGTCAAGACCATAATTTGGACGGGTCTTTCAGGACAGCGCCCAGAAGGGATCTCGATGGTTTTGCTGTGTGCCACATGCTTCGGGTAGGCTGTAGCAAACCCTCGTTACAAAGCTGCCCCAGATCGGTGTGATGGAGTGGCAGAGTACTTATCGATAGCAATGTATCCAGCATTTACGGGACCTCCCTAATGTTTGGCCTGGTGGGATAAAATCTAGGATTGAGCCAGTGCCGTAAAGGGCATTTTATCTCAGAGGAGGCAGTGAGTCAGCGCTTCCTCCCACATTCCCTGCTTTGTTCCTGACATCTCTGCTTTTTCTGTCTTTTGCCCGTCTCTCTCTCTCTGGCCTTTCCAGTTGTTCTCGGGGATCATGCAGTTCTTTGCACTGAAACGTGCTCCCACCCACTCTAAAATGTGATTCAACCCCCACAGGCAGACTGGCTTGGCTGGTGAGAGAGAAAGAAGGTTCCGGACTCAAATGCAGTATCAAGAGGCCGTCTCAGTTCACCCCCACCTTCCCCTTTATGAAGATAACTATCACCTAAATCATAGACCGTATGATTGTAGGGCTGGAGAAAACACTGACAGCTTATCGTGAGCACCTGGAGGCCCAAAGAGGCACATTGCGTAACTGAAGTCTCACAGATGGTGGCCCAGGAGGATGCTGAGGGGCTCACCAAGGGACTCCCCCAATCTAGGAAGCATGTTAACCCCCAGTTGGATGAGCTGGGGGTAAACCCAGTTCTCAGTCAGTGCAGTATGGCCAAAAAGATTCTGACAAGTGGCCAGAGTCAGCAAGAAGGGGAGGAAAAAAAACAAGTTTCACCTGATCATTAGTGACAGAAATACCTGTGTCTGCAGCATTATTTGGCTTTTCAGTACTTGTACATTTGTACGATAAGGGCCAGACCTGTGCTATTTTTGTTTTGTCTTTTGAACTCTATGGACCAACTAGACTTTGAGAGAAAAGATTACCCTTAAACTGTGGAAGGTGACCGAAAGAATAGGGCCACAGTGCACAGCCTTTGAAACAGAATGGGTCATGAGTGGAAATTTTATAATACCTAAGATTTTCTAAGTTATACCAGATGCTGTACCAGACTATCCCATAGAAAATCCAGCTTGATATGGCAGAAAGGCCCCTGAGCCAGCAATGATAAAATACTGGCTCTGCTTTTCTAATTGGGTGGCTTTATATGTCACAACCTTTGGGGTCTTTGGTCACCTCATGTGGGAAAGAAGTTGTACTGGAAAATACTTAAACTCCGTTCAGCTCCAAGATGGAGTCGTGTTGTCTCTGAATATCTAAATGACATCTAAATTTATGGAAAAGGCTAGCTTTGCTTTTCTGTCAGATTTTACCTAACATAAATCGACATTACAAGGTTCTGCTTGCTAAGGGCAAATGCCCAGTGGATTTCATACCTTCATATTCCTCTAATAAAAGGCAGTTATATATAAATAAAAACGAAGCTATCTTAGAATTTGAGGGGAGATGGAATTAAGTCATTATTTCCATACACTTGAGTTCTGCCATTTATAATGTCTCTGAGGTACAGTTTCCTTTTTTTTTAAATTAGCGTGATTTTTCAAATTAGATGATTTGTAGCATCTTTTTCCTCTGATAATTTATGATTCTAAGACTCTTAGGAAAAAGCTTTTTTTTCCCCCTAAGAACACCACCACCACAGTGAAAACTGCTGCCATTCAGATAAGGACAGAAAAATGGATTGGGGATATAGGGAATTGTTTACAAATTCCTAACTGATTAACATCACCAGTGACATAATCCCTTCCTATCTACGTGTACAATTTAATTTTTAAATTATTTTCCTGGAATAAGAGAGGGGCAAAAACCTAATTATTAGTTACTTATTCAATTTGCTGTGGCTTTGGATTATAGGATTTTTGTGATGGAAATGCTGGCACAGGCTCCAAGCTATACGGCATCGGCATACTGTCTGGATCTGCTCTCCGGAGATTTTGTCCTTGTTCAATGCATCGCGCATTAGATTTCTGTTCAGTGGAAGATGTTAGCATCATACAGGAGGAAGCCCTTTCTTTCCCTGATAGGGTTAACGTAAAAATCTTCCCTTTGTTTACTGGCGAGGGAACACTCGGATCTGGAAAAGCCAAATCGTTAAGAAAATAAGACTATGCGTGGTTATGGGGCAGGTGATTTTTTTAAAATAAAATTCTTAATTCTAGGAGCTGCCCTAATGTCATTATTTTTCTTACACTTTGAAGAAGCTATAGATGTGATAAACAGATAACTTTTCATTCACTGAGCAAGTGTGCACTGAAGCAGGTCTTCTGGCCAGGCCCCGGGCTAGACCCTAATTTGCAGCGATTAAAGATATGTGTTTGCAACTGTCTTTAGAGACCTTGGGCCCTGCACTGATGTCTGACTGAGGGCCCTGCTTTTAGGAGATATAGGCACCAGTGACCCACCCATTGTGCTTGGTTGTTCTTTCTCTGGTTGTTACAAAATACTCAAATAACTAAGGATTTAGTTCCCTGTTTCCCTGGTGTCTGTGAGATGCTAACGCTGAGGACCAGAAAATTTTTCCAAAAGTTAAAAGCAAAATAAAACCACTACCATCACCACCATCAAGAAAGGAGTGGAGTCATTTCATAAGTTAAGAGAGAATTGGAAACACTCAGGCCCACTGGTGGTCATACAAAATGATAAGATCTTATTGGAATCATATCAAACAATGAATGGGCACCAAAAGCTGTAAAAATGCCTTTGGCTAATGAATGCAGCTCTCAGATTTTTATGCTGTGGAAATATTTACGTATGTGCACAAAGATGTGTCTATAAGGATAGTCATTTAGAGTAGTGGG